CTATTTAATTACACTACTGTTGATATATCACTATTCACTGCTCTATTTATTTCACTGCTATCACTGTCAAGTTATTTCTCGATTCACTTCTGCAACGGTAAATTTATTTCTTCTCTTCTCGGCGATCGACTCTTCATTTAAATACTCTTTTGTTTACTTTCGAGAACCTTCTCGAAACGCCCGGAAAATTTCTTTTTTCTTTGTACTGTTTAACTGCTTTCCCAGAACGTAGGTACGACACACACATTTCAAGATACGGCGCACATGAAGAAAGGCGCCCGAGGCTAGTCGGCGAATCAATAAGCCGTTCACTCACACGTGTGCCCGATCGCACACAAACACACTCGTGCTCGTTACACTGTCCTCTCCCTAAGGATGTTTCGTCCCGAAACATTTTCACTTTCCGTTTCACAGGATCATGCCGGCATCTGCAATTCTCGCCTTCACGACATCCGCTCCGGAAATAGAAGTAACAGTCCACGGTCTTCTCATGATTGGTCCGATTTGGGTTATTACTGCAAACCAAAATGCCCATTCCAGTATGGCGGAACAGGACTTCGATCATATTCCGTACGTTCCTCCAATCTAGGTTGTCCAGTCCGCAACCAAGCTTCGGAATCGCCAGCTTCCGTAGGTTATTCTCCAGATGTCCGGGAGTTCCATTACTGCGTCCCAAAGGTTTATCACAGCATCTTTCTTTAGTTACCAGGTAATACGTAGATCTTGCGTCGTCCGTCAGGCAGGCACAACAGTCTTCTTCAAGATGTTCCAAACAGCCAAATCTGCGTTTGAACGCAGACGCGATACCACAGTTCATTCTGAGATCCTTTGAAACGCAATGGGCAAGAGAATATTCGTTAGATATAGCAAAGAGGTCTCGTCGGATTTCTTGCGTCACTCCAAATCTCCTGTTAACATGGGGACCTTCCTTCATGAACTCTTCGAACGTGAGCTTGGAAGGAATGGCGAATGGAGCCAAGAGATTAAAATTGAGTTTTCTTAATTCGGTAGATCACGTCGTTAATCCTCTTCACTATCTCATAGGGTCCTTTCCAATTCTGTTGGAATTTAGGTGATAGTCCACGGCGACGACGAGGATTATACAACCAAACAAGATCTCCAGTTTGTTAACCACCTGCTGTAGCTTTGATATAGTAGTTTTCTTTAATCCTGTCACCAGCAATCTGCGTATGCCGACGAACCGACTCGTGGATATCGTTCTTCGGAGGTTGGTAAAATAATCTTCTCCAGCCAAGTCATCTCCTAGTTTACAACCGAATTTAGGTTACAAGGTAGTTGTAACTCCCTTTCAAAAAGGACACTGGCAGGTATTTGGCCAGTCGTTTCGTGCACAGATGAACGGTATGCCATTAAAAACAAAGGTAAATAGCGGTCCCAGTCCCTTTGGTGATCAGATACTACCTTAGAGAGATATTTAATCAAGGTCCGGTTCACTCGCTCAATCATACCGTCCGACTGTGGATGGAGTGGAGTAGTTCGAGTTTTCTTTATTCCTACGAGCCAATTCGGAATTCCTCTCTTGGTTTAAGTGCAACTCCAAGGGCTCACCAAAACGGCTGATCAACTCTTTCACCAGCTCCTCAACTATGGTTTCCGATTCTTGGTTCGGAAGGGCATAGGCTTCAACCCACTTGGTAAAATAGTCCATAACGACCACGATGTACTTGTTACCTTTCTTGGATTCTGGGAATGAACCCACCACATCGACAGCGATTCGTTCGAAAGGGCCACCGACATTATATTGGCGCATTGGCACCCTTGATCTTTTCTTGACATCTTCCTTACAGTTCAGCCAATAAAATCGCTCTCGAAGTTTCCCAAGCGTTTTATTCACTCCAAAATGGCCACCAGATGATCCATCATGAAGATACTGCAATATCTCTTTAACCTTATTTTGAGGAATAACCAGTTGCTTCCTATCTTCCTCTCCACATGGACTTTCAACAACACGCTACAGGATGCCATCCTCCAAAACCATTGAGCCCATAACGATTTTAGTACTTGGGTACAGGAAGAAATTTGCTGCCACGTTAGTCGTTTTCCGTCTCTTTACCATTCCATCAGCTTCTTTAAGTCCGGGTCGTTTTCTTGGTCGTGTTTTATATTTTCAGGTAACCACCCGTCGTCCATTACCGTGACGCGTCGAAATGCTTCTTCATTCTTTTTCATTCGATCATACTGCTTGCATTTTGTTTGACGTCGAGTACTTGGGGAAAGAGTACTTTTCCTACACTGCCATCTCGTATGACCTAGTTCAACGCCGCCGCGAACCGCCACTGAATTTCCGCTTTGTTACCGTTTGTCACTTCATCCCGTTCTTCCAATTCTCTTCTTAACTCGGCTACTTTTAATTCGTACAACTTCTTTGTCATTGTAATGTCTTTTACTCAACCCCATACCTGACACCAGTTGTAATGTTCGTTTGTTTAACAAAATTAACTTCTAAAACTTATAACGACAAAACTATTTATTTACACTAATTATTAAAGAACTTAAAAACACTATTAAATTATTACCACTAAGGTTATGGATTATTCTATTTATTTACACTACTGTTGATTTATCACTATTCACTGCTCTATTTATTTCACTGCTATCACTGTCAATTTATTTCTCGATCCAATTCTGCAACGGTCAATTTATTTCTTCTCTTCTCGGCGATAGTCTCTTCCTTTAAATACTCTATTGTTTACTTTCTGGAACCTTCTCGAAACATCCGGAAAGTTTCTTTTTCTTTGAATTCCTTAACTGCTTTCCTAGAACGCAGGTACGACACACACATTTACAAATTCGGCGCACATGAAGAAAGGCGCCCGTGGCTAGTCGGCGAATCGATAAGCCGTTCACACACACGTGTGGCCGATCACACACAAACACAGTCGTGCTCGCTACAATATTTAGAGAAAGGCTTACCTAAAACCAAACTTATTTTTCTTCTTGATATTTACGGTGTCGTGGAATAAATTATAAACCTCTTTAAATATAAATTTGTTGCAGAGGAATTTTACTTAATGTTTTTTGTCGCAAAACGAACACTACATTTCTTCAATTTTCTAAAATTGTTCAGATTGCTTGTTTCTTGTCCATTATTTACTTAATCCTTTATTTCCCTTTAAAATTATAAAGAACCCATTTGAATTATCAGCTTTAGTTCGGTCGTCCTAGTGCCACATGACGCAGCATCCGCGGGTGTTTTATCTATGATACATTATGTCATCGACGTTCACTAATGGACATGCCTTAGCGGTCACAATTGCGGTACAATAAAAGAAAGAGATGGAACAAAGTTTCGGTCAATATCCATCTCTCTCACGATAGTGGGTTAGCGTGTCATGAAAAAGATAGCATTAGTCCGAAACCATACGTCATCTCCCTCACTTTTCGAGTAAAGAAATTATTACAACGTCATACGGCTAAGGCACGTCCATTAATATACAGTCTATTTCAATTTGTTAGAACTGTGACCTTGATGAAACCTGCGCGAAGATAGAAAGAATACACACTAGGCGTGAGCAAGACAGAAATAGTTGGAACAAGCTTGAACGAGAAGAGCTCTCGATGGGCGGTCTTACGAGATCAGCTAGAACTGTACAGTACTAGACGAAAATGTTTAGCAATTTCTTAAAACAAAAATGTATATAAAATAACAATAGAAAATAAAGCAAAAGTTTTATAGGTGTGTAGAACATTAAGTTAATTCAGTTGTTATTATTTTTGGATAAATATGCTCTTAACCTTTCGTCGGGCGCATATAATCTGAGAGATGAAGTGATGCGTTTTTCTTTTGTCAAATTCATATTTTTGTGTGAGGCGGTGTAGGGGCTCAAGTACCTTCTCTAATTACCGTCACGCGACAAATAAACAAAAAACCAATATTGTTACCGTTTTACTAACGGCTGTTCGAATGTTCGTAATCTGTAGGGTGAGTTGAGCCTGATCATGTGAAATTGTAAAAATTGTATTTTTGGGGATTTCTTTTAATATTCTACTTAATAATAATAATTTTTATAAAAATAATNGGTAGGTCCTCCTGTGAGGGAATCCAACACTACCCAGTCGTACGGACGGCTGGGTGTCTTTCGAAGATTTCCCCTCTTCCACGAAAAAAAAAAAAAAAAAAAAACTAAACGATCTAATGACTTTTATTGCTGGTGTTCTCAGATGGGCGGAATAGCCATTTATTTCCACTACCCACTCGCTGGTATTAAGTAATTTGGAATTGTTTACAACCCCTTTTCTTCAATATTGTTTCAGTGTTCGGCATCAATTTCTATCTGAACACGTAAGTTGCTACAACTATTTTTTACCTTCATTATTAATTATCTTGTGTTCAAAATGTTAATTGTACATTATTGAAAGGTTTTAGTTAAAAACTGTTAAACTGTATTACTGTTTCTTCTGTTTTGTGGCCTTTTCTATTTCCTCAATTGTCTCTTCAAATTACATAAAATATTTTATTTTGTACAAGTGTATTTGTTAACATTCAATAAATTTTTTTTACTATTTCACTTATTATTACTTTTACACTTTAAAATTCCCAAATTCTTATGTTAAGGTGAAAAATGGACAAGTAACAATGTATTTCCTTTTTTACAAAAGAGACAATGTCTTTTCTTTTATAAAAAAGGAAAATACATTGTTTCTTATCCATTTTTCACTTTAACTTATACATTACGAAAAACAATAAGTAACTAACAAATTTAAAGTGCGCGCCTTTTTTATTTAGTATTGACTAGACCTGCCGGAGGGCGCGCAAATCAGCGCATTTCGAGTTGACCATCTATTACCCTTTGTATATCTATTATCTATGGTCTATGCATTATGCTATCTCTTATCTATGCTGTACCATGAATGAACATTTCGTTAAAACGTTAAAACCGTTTTGTGCTCATAGAATATTAATATTTTACAAGAGCTGTCAGCGTTCGGCTATGTCCGTGACTCATCGTTGTGTGACAGCTAGACTCGAGTCTAACAGTCGTTTTGCAATCATATACCATTCATATACTCAATACTCATATACTTGCAGTGATGGTGGCCACTGATAAGACGTAACATAGACTGTATTTCTTTTCTAGGGACGATATTCATGGATGATTCATGAGTAGTTATTATTCCATAAATTAATGTTTAGGGAATACAATACTTTCGGATAAGAAAGAAAAAATAATTTTATAATGGCCAAAAATACGTTCAGTTCAGCATTTCGAAAAATAGACGTCGACCAATATAATGAAGATAATTTTAAGGAAGATGATGGAGAACTTGGTGGAACAGGCCCAAATGAAAACGACGTGATGGTACTTCTAAACCAATATCCTTTTAAATGATTTATATGTCCTTTTAAGATGGTTTCTAAGTATTTTCTTTAATGAATTATACAGGAAAATATATTGATGCTCTAAAAGCAGTCATAAACTCTTCTCCTTTGGGATCAAAAAATCAACACCTTAAGGTTAGATAGCACTATAATTTGTTACTCTGTGACTTAAAAGTTGTTTTATAGGATCAAGCTTTGAATATTACTTTGAAGGTGCTTTTATGTATAAGAGTTCCACAAATTGAAGAAGCTGTACAAGCATTAACATCTGATGAACTTGACATACTGATGAAATATGTGTACCGTGGTTTTGAAAATCCTACTGAAGGTAGCAGTGGACATCTTTTGCATTGGCATGAGAAAATTTATGGCATTGGTGGAGTTGGCTGTATTATACGAGTTTTATCAGATACTAAACGTGCTTAACTACAACAATTTTATATCATATGTGGTTTATTGAATTAAATAAATTTATGTAATTGCAAACAGTAGTTTATTAAAAATTACCGTAGAAATTCCTTTTAATCAAAAATTGTATTTTTAAATATTTATACTGTATAGACATAAGTGTATATATAACAACTCGGTGGAAGACATTTGATGAAACTAGTTAAAAATTATGTGACAACTTCAAATTAATATATACTAGTGACAATTTTAAAGTTTTGATTGTCCAGAATTATCTAGAACCTGTTTCATATCTCTTAAGCAACAATCTAATGTATAAGCAAACTGTTCCGCGTTGGTGCTTTGAGGTGCTTGAAAACATGAAACTGCAATGTTCATATCATCATCTCTAGGATTATAACAACATCCATAACCATAAAAGGATGTTGGTCCATAGCACATAAACCCGTCACATTTAGTTGCCACCTGGCTAGAAGTTATTAGAAAATCAGTGCTCCGTTTGAATGATACATCTTCAAATATATAAGGTGATGGGTAACAATTTTGCTTGGCTATCATCCGTAAACCAAGAAGATGACGATCCACACCAAATCCATTTAAAGCCTACAAGTTATAATAATTATAATTTTTCGGTTCATAAAAAAATACGATATAATTAGAATTGATGTTTTTTCATTCATCTCAATAAAAAATAACTACAATGCTTATAGACTACAAGACCATGTTAAAAATGGAAGGGGTGAATGGTGAAGTTATTCACCATAAATTATATATAGAATTGTGAGACAACTTAAAGCAATATGCCGCTAATTAAGTATGTCGAGTATTTATTTTGTACAGCATTTTAAAAATAATATAGGTCAAAGAAAAATAATCATTTAGAGTATAGTGCCCTACAAAACTAACGGTACCGGAAGCTAGGGTAATTTTTTATTTTATGGCGCTTATTAGGTAGATTCATTTTTCAGCAACGCCGTACATATTTACTGGTTCAGAGGTAAGAAAACCCCACACTTCTTAAATTAAGTGATATATAGTTTTGGTGATTTTACACGTGTTATTTAATGATTTTTGTTTTACACCATGTAAGAATGCAATTTTATATTATACCGTACATTATATACCATATGACACATATGGCTTGCGCAGCAAAACTAATTTCCTCTGAAGAGGGCAAATTTTTTTAGTGAAAAAAATGTGTAACTGTACTTCAATTATTAAAACAGGGGACCCAGCTTCCTCTATCAGATTCGTATCATGCAAGACCATTGCAAAATATACGGCATTGATGTTAACTTTGTATTTTGCATTTAGAATAATTTTTGAAAATTTGGACGTATTACGTTTAATTCCATAAGCAAAAATATAATTAATATTTATACAAAATATATCTACCTCTAATTGGATTGGACTAAATTAAGGCTCATTTGTTTATTCAAAACTGTTTTTATTACTTGGATTTTATTGTGAAAGTGTACCGCTTGATTTACAGGGTTGCCCAAAAAATACACAATATACTCACTGCGTCCAAACGAAATGAATGAAAATTTTTTCGTTTAAACTTACGAAAAATTTTTCATTCAAAACTTTGCCCCTATTTTAATACAAAATTTTGTTTCAATGGCAACACTCTGAAATATTGTCGAAAAGTTATAGGAACAATTTTTCAGAATGCCAAAATATGCTACGCAAAAAAATCACAGCAATATTCATATACTTTTCTGTTTCAAGTCAAATGGCCCAAAAACTTCGCCCAATATGCTCGTTCTGGTTAAATTGTAAGTTTTAAAATATTTTTGTTCCCTATTCCCCGTCTGTAGCATATAAAATTGTCTTACTATACAGAGTTACAGAGAAAAAGCTGCACCATTCATTGCGAACCTTTTAAGTAACTTAAACGGAACCTACGTCATTATTATTGTAGCGAGCACGAGCGTGTTTGTGTGCGAGCGGCTTATCGATTCGCCGACTAGCCGCGGGCGCCTTTCTTCATGTGCGCCGTATTTGTAAATGTGTCTGTCGTATTTGCAGTTCAAGCAGTTCAAAGAAAAAGAAACTTTTCCGGACGTTTCGAGAAAGAAACAAAAGAGTATTTAAAGGAAGAGACGATCGCCGAGAGGGAGTAGAAATAAACTGACCGTTGCTGAAGTAAATCGAGAAATAAATTGACAGTGATAGCAGTGAAATAAATAGCGCAGTGAATAGTGATGTATCAACAATAGTGTAAATAGATAGAATAATTCATCACCTAAGTTTAGTAATAATTTAATAGTGTTTTAAGTTCCTTAATAATTAGTGTAAATAAATAGTTTTATCGTTAGCAGTCTTAAAAGTTAATTTTGTTAAACCCACGAAAATTACAACAGCAGAGTTAAGAAGAAAATTGAAGAACGGGATGAAGCGACAAGCGGTAACAAAGCGGAACTTCAGTGGCAGCTCGCGGAGACGTTCAAAAGGATGACCATGATCCTGAAACGTTCATTGTCGAACAGGAATTGTCGCAAATGATGAAAAGTTTGGAAAATAAATTAGAAGAAAACAGTAAAAGTTTGGAAAATAAATTGGAAGAAAACAGTAAAAATTTGGAAAATAGATTGGATGAAAACAGTAAGAGTTTGTAAAATAAATTGGAAGAAAATAGTAAAAGTTTGAAATGTGAATTGGAAGAAAATAGTAAAAGTTTGAAACGTGAATTTGAAGAAAATAGTAAAAGTTTAAAACCGGAATTGGAAGAAAACAGTAGAAGTTTGGAGAATAAATGGAAAGAAAAATTTAATAAGAATATTCAAGAAACAGAAGAGAAGATAAAAGTTCTGGAAAAATTGATTTTTAATGGAAAGACAAAACCAGTCCAAGGGGATGTTGGCGCATCTAGTACACTCAAAGAAGCCAGCCAAAACAGCCAAGGAAGCGGTATAGAGTCAAGAACACGAGTAAAACCACCAACGTTTGACGGAAAGTCCTCATGGACCACATACCACAAGCAATTCGAGGCGGCTGCTAAGGCGAATAACTGGGCGCCTGGAGAAAAAGCCACTGCGTTGACCGTTGCGCTTCGTGGAGATGCATGTGACATTTTGAAACCCTTTCCCCGGAAGAATTGGCGGATTATGAACAATTGGTAAAACGGTTAGAGTTGCGCTACAGCGAGGCTCATTAAATAGCAGTGTATCACATCCAACTGAAAACCCGTCAGCAGAAACCAACGAAATCCTTACAAGAATTCCAGGCCGATATTGCGAGACTGTCTCGACTGGCCTATCCTAATACTCCAGAAGAATTGATGGAAAGGTTGGCAGTGGGGGCATTTACTGATGGACTTCGGGACAGTGACACTCAACAACGAATACGCCTTGACCTACCTAAGACGCTAGCTGATGCATTGGCTCGTGCATTGGAGTACGAAACTGTTAAACGGGCCTATATCAAACACGAAAGGGTTCGGCTATTGTGTGAAGAAACGGATTCATAAGAATCTTTAGAAGAAACCGTCTGCCGAATCATCTTCCAGTTAGATAAAGAACCTCGAAAGCTAAGATGTTGGAATTGCGGCGAACCAGGTCATACGAGGAGGCAGTGTAGGAAAAGTACTCCTTCCACAAGTACTCGACGTCAACAGCAGGAAAACTAGATAGGGTCGACGTAACGGGGCAAACGTTGACCCACGGACAAAAAGACCCCGAATTCATTGCATTTACTAAGACCTTGAAGCACCAAAATGACAGTCTACTCCTAGGTAGAAAAATAAATGGGCGAAGATGCGTGTTTCTTTCAGACACTGGGGCCACTATGAGCATAGTAAAAACCATCTGTATCTACAAATTCTCATATGAATTTTCGGTACTAGAAGCAAAGTCCCTGAAAAGTTCGTGACGATCCTTTGGTGTAGGCATCCTTTTTGTCGGGGTCGGTCACAATTCCTGCTGGTGTTACGACATGGCTTAAGTATTTCACTTCTCTTGTAAACATTTTGCATGCATTTCCTGGGACTTAGCTTCAATCTTGCGGCTGACAATTTCTTGAAGACTTCAGTTACGTTTCGGAGGTGGTCGTCGAAAGTTATTCCTAGTATGATGATGTCGTCTAGGTACACCAAACAGATTTTCCAGTTTAAGCCTTGTAATGTAGGGTCCAATGCCGGTGCATTGCACAATCCAAAATCCATTACATTGAACTGCCATAGACCATTTCCAGTTGTAAAGACAGTCTTCCCCTTATCCTGCGGATGAATATCCACTTTCAAGTATCCATTTTTCAAAAAGAGCAGAGAACCTTTCAGCATCTGCTAGATTATCCAGTGTGTCGTCTATTCGGGGTAATGGGTAGCTGTCCTTCAGCGTTACGTCATACAACTTCCTGTAGTCCACACAAAATCTCATGGAACCACCCTCCTTACGCACCAGCACTATAGAGGAAACCCAAAAACTTTGAGATGGTTTTATTACCCTTTGCTTATGCATGTCTTTTTTAAGATTATTAACTTCCTGCTTCGGCCAAGGAACTCTCCCAGGGACGCCGTAAGCGGGTGTGCAGAGCGTGCACCGCACACGGGCGGTACATAAAGGGGGCGGCAAATCGAGCGACTCATTACGTGCCTAATTTAAATCATTGTCATAATACCCACCCCACCTTAAGTATAAGAAATATTTCATAGCTTGGAAAAAAATCCGACCGAATGACGTTAATACAGTCATTTATTGGCATCCGTTAAAACTAAGGTACAAAATCAAACGTCGTCTGTCATTCTTTGAAAACCAGGACTGGCGAAGTTAGGGGAATCCCTTTTGAATTTCCTTTTTAATTGGTAGGTTAGGTACCTAGGTACTACAGTAACGATGGCACATTAAATTGCAATTATTTTGTTAATAGTTCTTTTGAGGTAGGTTTGGGCTTAATTATTGATATTTAAACTTGTCTAGTGTGAATCATCCGTTAGTATAAAACAGAAGTGCAAAGGAATCGTAATTATGATAAATTAAACGAAATTGATGCTCTGATCAAAATGATGCAGAGCTCAACAATGAATACTTAAATCTGCATAAATTTGTTAAATAAGTTGATTAATAAGTTGACAGAATATCGCACCGCTGAACACTTTGAAACGGTGTTAGCAGAAGCTTCCAAAGTGGCTCACGAACTCATCGTAGAAACAGAATTTCCAGTAATAAATACAATTCGTCCAAGAAAAAAATCGACACAACTTCACTATGAACACAGTGATGAAGTTTTAGTCGACCCAAAAGTCAAATATAGAGTAGTTTTATTTTAGAATCATAGATCAGACAATAATTTCTTTAAAGGATAGTTTCGACGCGTTAAAAATATTTACCGACGTATTTGGCTTTTTAGCAATAACTTATTTAATTATTCCAATGATTAGTCAATGAAACATTGTAAAGATTTAAATTTGAAACTTAAATCTGATTTAACTAGTGAATCAGGCATTGACGATATTGATTTATTTAATGAAATCATTGCATTAAAGTTGCATTTTGTAGAAAACCAGTCTAATGATCCACAAACCCTATTACAATATCTTTTTATCAATGACATTTCGGAACAGAGCAATAGCGCTAAGAATATTTCTTACACTGCCGGTTTCA